TTTCCAAGGCCATTATAAAAGGCTTGGATTTACTGTCATTGTGCTAAATTATGGTGGGGGCAATCTCTTTGTAAATCCTTGAACCTCTCCCAATCCTCATATAAAGATTCATCGGCTTCTTGGGTAAAGTTCTAGATCGCACTCCGCAGTACAACTGTTCTCTCTGCAGGATAATACTTGTTATAGAAATTCAAAACAAGAGTTTCCCAGTCAGTTATACCAAGTGTAGTTCTATTTAAACCATTAAACCACAATTTAGCTTTTCCAGTTAAAGAGAAGGGAAAGAGAATCTCCCTGATTTGGTCTTAAGTGACCCCGGCTTGCCTGATGGTGTTGCAATATTGACAATAGTCAGCAATGTGAAGATTCAGGTCTTCACCCTTGGATCCACTGAATTGCTTCCTCTCTATCATCGTTATAAATTGAGGTTTAATTTCAAATTGAACCCCATCAAGAGCCGGAGTAGGGGTGAGATGTGGAAAATCCGTAAGCTTTGGTTGTGAATAATCACTAAGCTTCTTTGGAGCCGTCATCTCTGATTCTGCGTCTGATGATGCCTCTGAATCGCTAGAACCAGTCGGAGGATCACGGTGATTATTGTTATTATCACCACAATCCGCCAGGATTTGCTAGTAGAGATTTTTCTGTCTATGGAAGGAACGTTCGATCTCAGGATCGAATGGGATGTAACCTGATCTGGAACACCTGGGCATAAACAAAAACTAGAAGCAAATGTGGGATTTGTCTCAGAGAACTAACGCTCTCTGAGACAAAAAGGGAAATAATCTAGACTACAAAAACAATTAGAAATAAAAATAAAATCGTTTCCCCGGCAACGGCGCCAAATTTTGACGGGTAAAGTCGTATCCCCTAATCAAAAATAATTCCTAAGTCCTCTAACTAAAGCAGATAGGGAAGTAGGGTCGATCTCCACAGGGAAACAAGTCTTTCTATTCCTAATTAACTAAAATAATCTAGATTATGAAGTAACCAATATTTATATTTAAATATGAAACTAAACTACTAAGATTTAGAATAGGGAGAAAACAATATATAAAAGAACCTAGGGCATAGGTTCACCAATAAATAATATTCCAGGGTAGAATATAATAATCATTCATCAATGCATACATCAATCAGATTATAAAGAGCTTTCGCTACATATTATAATCACACAATTAATTTACCGGTATTAAATCTCATCTTTCGAATCTCGACTTAACCATTTATAAATTAACATGCCTATTAAAACTAGACCTAAACATTAATTCTCATCTGTCGAATCTCGAATTAATATTGCCAAACTCATGCATAAAAGACCAGGCCTAATCTAGTCACAGAGCATTAATTCAATCAATAGGAAATTAATCTAGCATTGATAATTAACAACAACAAATTACCCCTTCATATTATTTATGGATCCCCTGTTAGTGAGCTTACTAACTTGCCGAACAGTTAGGGTGTCGTCCACCCCCTGTATAAAGAGCAACGTGTGATGTCGCATTTATGTAGGCACGTGCCCCCGAGACACATGTACTCACCTTGTGGACAAAACTGCTGAGAGAGTTACCAATTTTCTCCTCTCTCACTAGATTTGGATATATGCCTCCAGTCTTGAGACATGTATTTCTATCTTGTGGACACCGAGTATTGCGTTTTGACAAGCGAGTTGTCGAGAAATTTACTCAGGCTGCGAAAGTCGAAACACCCATGATGCAAAAGCCGAAACACTCTTTTTATCGTCTTTACAACTTGTTAAAATCTGGCTAAAGTTTCAATGACATATCGAGGGACTTTAGACCAATGATGACATGACTGAGAGGATATCATCCCCTTTAATCCCGTTTAAACCAATTTCTTCTCATGAAGTGACATCACCCAGAACACCTTTACTTGTAAAAGCGTTCTACAATCGCAAAGGATTAGTATAGATTCTTTAGTGCACTAAGACTAGGAGTTACTTTTTCTTGCCTTAATAGCTACTTGTCTCGAACACTTAGCGAATCCAGGATTGTTCCGACATCCTTAAATATTACTAAAAGATTCTCTATTCTTAGACTTCGCAAAATGAGTCTCAGATTTATTTCCTTGACTACTTTGATCAGCGTCTATTCTAGACTTGATCAAAGTGGGGGCTAAATGTAGACGCTTACTTTTGGCCTCTTGTCCCGAAAGGAAGTGCGATGATGTTACGAAAATCCGTTCTTCATGCTAGATCAAAGTTGATGTGTTTATGGACTACGAAATCCATTATGAAGTAAGTTAAAACCCATATTAGAGACCAAGTTATCTTAGAGCCTTGTCCGACTACTAATTAGGCCTAAAACATGCTCATACATGTTTAAACTTGATTAATAACGGACTCAAATACGGCAAATGCAATGATTCGATCCAATGGATCTTACATTGTTGAAAACCGAGCCAAACAGATAAACCAACCATCATATTTCCGTGCATGGCCTATACATATGAATATCCCTTTCAAAGAGCTTTCCAACGGTATATTATAAGCCCAATTCCGAGCTAAAACAAAGAAGTTATGATCAAAACACTAAACCAAGCCCTAAAACCAACACCATTGCACTCCAACGGCTATATCTTTTGATCCATAAAATATTTTAATCTAATTCTAACGGCAATGGAAATTAAACATTCAGAGCTTTCCAATGAAATCTCACACGCCTATCCGACTTTGCAATCAAAAGTTATGGAAGTTTTAAAAACGCGTTTTTGTATAAGGCAAATCGCATCACAACGCAACTAAGTAAGTTGCGTGCGCGACTCATTGAGATGCGTGCGGCACCCAGCGTGACTCAAAGAGTTGCGTGCGCCACCTGACGGCGCGGCTCTAAAACCCTAAACCTAGATCCCTACGCCTATAAATAGGGGTCTTCGTTCAGCATTACGAGGACCAAAAACTCAGAATTCTAACCCTAGCATTCTCAAAACCCTAATCTCTCAACTTCTCTTACTATCATACTAGATTTTCTTCTCTCTTCCCAAATAATTTCCAGCCTAATTGAATCCATTGAAGTCCTTGGAGGTACGAAGAAGAAATAAAGTCCATAAACACATTAAACGAAGATTTAACATAAAAGAAGAACGGTTAGTTTCTTGAGCACTTAGATAAATCACTTTTCGTTTATTGTTTAAATAACTTTAATTGAATTAATAGTGTTGTTTGATCACTTTAAACAAACTTTTAATTAATTGATTACATAGTATTCTTTCGTTAATCAAGACTAGAATTTGAAAATTAATTGTTGTTTTATCACTTAAGACAAGGCGAATAATGTTTATTTTGTTCTTTTCACGAATATTGATTAAATAAGAATAACGACTTTTGCAATGTAATTCCTACGTGATTGACGCCTGTGAATAAAATCAACTAACTTACATTTAGGAGCCACATTGCATATATTGTTTGGTGATGAAATTTTGAAAAAGGAAGAGCTAGCAGAGGTTGTAACTAGGGCTAGAATAGCGATTCCTCCCTAAAAGGAACATTATTTTAGTACCCTCGCTCTCGAACTCATTTCTGGTATACGTAGATCAATTTAGGCATGGGTAAACTTACGATTCGTGCTAATTATCCCTTGAACTCTACTTGGGAGAAAGACATGAACGAGGTTTATTAGTTTTCTTAAAGCTCATTAGCGACTCGTACTTGTTTTTTTACAAAAAGCGTATTGAGAGGGTCATTTCTAATTCAAGGTCTCCCAAACAGTCAGGAATTCAATCCTAATACACTCTAACAAGTGTAAAGTCCTAGGCTTTTGAAAGGGTCATGGGCATCTAAGGAGAAAAATCTCCTTACGATAGGAACACCCTCCTTACACAGCTCATAAACAAACAGAGCAAGAGAATTATTAAAAGCTAAAAATATGAATACCAAAACAAACAACACAAGCAAAATAAGCAATAAAAACAACATAATTAACCTAGACAACCCAAGAACAGAGCTAAACAACTAGAGCAAAGAAGACTTGCAAACTCACAATTAAGCAAAACGTGAGTCCTTGAAGAGCAAAGAAAACCCACTAAAGAACTACCTCACCGGTAGAACTGAACACCCCAACTAGTCGTCAAGAGCAACACAAGAAGACCACCTCCCTGAATCAAACCTTGGATTAAGGGAATAACCCTAGTCTTAACTTCACCTTTACCGTCAAGAAACAATTAACGGATTTCCTTTCGACGACGGCGTTAAGAATAACCTTGGCTTCTTGTTTCGCTGGATAATTGAATACCGAAAAACATAACAACCCACCAAACTAGAAGACCGCCGATGGATCTAAGGCAAACAAACAACTCTTCTCCTTCCCTTGACTTCTTTACCCCGCAAAAGCTATAAAAAGAAAGGCAAATTAAGAGTATTAGGCTCACCGGTGGGGAACGCCGGCGAGCTGTAGGTGAGAAAGGGGAAAGCGGTGGGGGATAAGGATGAGCTTTCTTTTTTAGAGAGAGAAAGGCGGAAGCGGTGTATTACAATACTGTTGTGTTATGTTATGGATACCACTTTGAATTTACATATACAACAATTTGATTCTCATATATATATATATATATCAACAAAAAATCCCAACAAAATATAGTTCCATTTAATACTACACCTAATTTTCCTATAATCTAAGCCAATATCACCTCCTACAATTAACAACTCTACAAATATAGCTAGAATTAAAAAAACTACATCAGCATTATAATAACTAAATAATAACTTCACCAATCCCTTTCTCAAAGAGGAGGCCTAGGTCTATGTGATAACAAAGATATTTATCACATGGCATTTTGATAAATATATCTAATTTATCCAATCATCCAACACTTTTAATGAAAAAGGTGTTAATTTATTAAAGAAAATGCCATGTGATAAAAAAAAATTGTTTATCTCATAAATAAACTTGTATTTCCTATATCTCAAAAAACCCCACCCCTTTCCCAAAAATTAAAACAAAAAACGAAGGAAAAAATAATAATACCTTTTTTTGATTTTGAAGACTAATAATAACCTAATAATGTAATAGTATTAATTATAGTAATAATAATTATAAGTACATTCATCATGTTAATAAGTTTGATTATGCAATCAAAAATATTTAAATGTTTTCAGAAGCATCTTCTTTCTTTCTTCGGTAGAATAGTACATATGCAGCATTAGTCTTCACCTCATCTTCACCAATAGCCGATATATGGTTATCGTCAAAGCTATACCACCTGTTCTCATCTAGGAGCTGTAAAAGAAAAATATTTAATCAATACACCTCCAAGTCAACAAAGCATATAACAGGCAGCAAGATGATTCTGATTCACACAAAATAAAAGGCAGAGTTCCATCAACAACAGAATAAGCAACTCGGATACAAAAATGAAGTGAGTTTCTTTTGCATGTTCATATAATCATACAGGGTATTACACTATTACAGAGAGGGAAAAGAAGTTGATAAAAATGTTCGACACTTCGACCTTTAATTTTCCTTTCCCTTTCTTTAATTACACATTGAATTCCTTTAGAAACATATAAGCAATGGGTTACAAAAAGAATCAAACAAGCAACAAGAGTTACTATGAAAAGCGATCTATTACACATTGAATTCCTTTCGATTTTATTTCCTTCCTTACCTTTTCCTTTGATATAAAAGTTAAAACAGTAAAAACAGAGACATAGTGGGTTACAAAAAGCATCAAACAAGCAACAAGAGTTGTTATGAATAGCACTCTGAATATAGCAAGCATAAGTAAAATGTTCAAAACCAGAAAGCACCACCAGCCTAATTTATGTAATGCAAACGACGCAGCAGTAAAGTACTCGGAGCTTTGTACAGAAATCTTCGTTTTACAAGATTTAAAAAAAATAAAAGAAGGAACCATAAGCAATGCCTTTTGTCCAAAAAGATGGGATTAGCTGCTTGAACAAAAGAATATACATGTGGGCATTAAAGAGAATCCTCTACCTTTAGTTTTGCTATAATTCTATAAACACTACTCCTCGAGCAACTAGGAGTTGAATTGTTAGGCAAAACAATAGATCATTTATTGAAAGAAAGGTTATAATGTTGTTACATCGACATCACAGCTAAACATGGTAGCATCACTGTCCAAATTAATCTAACCTTAGCATTCACCAAACATTATATACTCATCTTGGGCCGGGGGAATATGAGCTCTAATAAGTGAAATAAGAGGATTTATAGGAGTTATAAGGCACATCTAAACATGACCATAATCTTAAAGTTTCAAGTGTAGTGTATATACACCTCATTTGCCTCTCATTGATGACCACCATGGTGACCGACTTTAGAAACTCGGTCAAGGCAGTTTATAGACTATGCAGCAAGCTAGAAAATTGACAGGATTTATTGGGCAGTGGAACATGAGAAATAGGTGTGTACATGGTGAATCATAGCTCTAATGTGGAAGCGTTGAATATGGATCTCTAAATCAATTTTAATCAGTAGTTATGCTCAGTAAAATACAGGTGAAAAGAACAGGACCTAAGTTAGGATCCTGTGTATAGCAAAGTACATTTGAACAGATGTGCATTAAAGTCTTAGTTTTAAAGGGCCCAAGGTGCAAAAGTCCTTGGAGCATAGGCGCAAAGCGAAGGGGAAGGTGCACCCCTTTTATAGGTGAGACACTTTATTATGTTAATCTCTACCTCATATTAAGTAGTCCAAAAAAGGAATTCGGGGAAAAGGTAAAAGGGTCATTTGATTAATAACTAGGGTTCTTCAAAAGGAATTGGGGGATATGGGGTTTCTCTCTCCTTTAAAATTAGTGTAAACCTAATCATTGCAATATCATGTGGTGCTTTATTAAAAAAAAAAAAAAAAAAAGATAGAACACTGACCATTGACGCCATACAGCATAAGGCAAGACATTAGGTGCAATGGCACCAGAAACAACCTAGAGAAAGAGCACATAGGCACGTGCCTTTTGTAGGTCTTTGCGCCTCACAGATCTAAAGAGCCAGGTCTCACGCCTCACCATGCCTTGTGCCTAGGCGCGCTTTTAAAACTAAGATTATAATGTGGCGAAAAGAAATTGTCTCACAAGGCTGAGTGTGTGTCAACTACCAAGTTGGAAAGCAAGTTCCTTAGTTTGACTGATCTTCAATGTTTAGGTAAATCATTCAGAATTGGAAAGCAAGTTTGGGAAGGAGAATGTACTAGGGAGTTATATTAGAAATAATGGCTCAAGAATGGTGTATTTGTCACTCTATTTGTTCAAATATGAAGTTTACCCTCTCTTACCCTTGAAAGAGAAATGCATGTCCATATATTATGTAAAAAGAAATGGTACCCATCAGCTTAAAATGGGAACGTAATCCTGTAATTAGGAAAACCACTACATAAAATGCATTGGTCAAATTAATGCTTACACAGGTTGCTAAGGATATTTATAAAAAACCAACCAGCATAATATTGTAGAAAGAGCTGAGATTCACCTTGATGTGTGCAGTATAGTGCCCACTACCCATGCTCCCATAGTGGTTGATTAAAGCATACAGTTCATAAAGCTGATGATCAGAATTGTTCTTGTTTGCTATGTACTTCGTAATGTCAAGATCATATATAGGGAAGTTGACAAATGTATCCAACTTGTGCTTGATTGACCTATTATATGAGAACCGTTTTAGATGGATAACTAGAACCTTTGGAAGCCTCCACAAATCCAGCTTCTTGCTTGCCTGTCGCCGCTCTTTACACTGAGGACATTTCCTGCATTGATAACAAAAGACTTAGTATATTACTCCGTTCTTGTAGAATGTTGTTCATTCCCTGCCAACTGAACTGTCTGAAAGTACAAAAATATTTCCCCCTAAAAAAGATAGTAAGCAGCTACAGACTTATCAGGTATTCCCAGGATACTAGAAGAGTGGAAGATACTAATTGAATATTATTATAGTGATACAAAAAAGGGGAAAAAAAGTGCAATCTTCATTCTAATGAATTAATATGGGTTTTAATGTTTACAAGCAAATTTAACATTGTAACATTATCATGGTGGTAAATTCTGAACAAAATTTAATCAGTCTTAATGACTCGGATTTGTTAAAATAGGTAATCTCTTCTGCCCAGTTTTCATCAGCTTTATGGATGGGGCAACAGAATGTAGGTCTAAGGCCCCAATCTGATCAAACACAGTTCCTGAACTGACCTAAAGCTCTCAAACAATCACTGTGAAAATTAACTGAGCCTACTAATGCATGATGGAGTTTATTTATGGCCACAGCAAGACAATAGCTTTAGAAACAAAACATCACTTTCTAAGATGCGTAGCTCAATTGTTAAGCCATATTATGATACAACACTAAACTATTAACCAGCAGATTAAAAACCTCAGAAAATCATGGATTAACTATGATTTTATAAACAAATAAGCAGAGTCTCTGTACTAAAATTACGTACATCTAGGTCTCCCTAGACCCAATCATAAGATGAGATACCTCAATTATTCCGGTCATGTTCCACAGAGAAAACAAAAAAGGACCAGGAGACCTCCAAGAAAATGATTACGAGTCCACCACTGTATACCCATATAATAACTCAAAAAATTAACTAGGAAAATTTTCCAAAGAACTAGTACATGGAAGTACTGTTCCTTTGCAGATAAAGAACTAAGTTTGAAAATTGCTATCAGCCCTTACCAGCCACAGATTTCACAAGATACCAAGCATAGAATGTGATGTCTCTTTTCCGAAGCATATATTTAGTAACAATCAAACTCTTAAGTTTATCCTTGAATATGCTTACACGACATCGTAGGTGGCGTGACACATTGTGCTACTTAAAGATACCAAATGTCCAAATGTGACTCATGAGCTAGCATGTAGACCCTTGAATATGCTTAGACGACATCATAGGTGGCGTGACACATTGTGCTACTTAAAGATACCAAATGTCCAAATGTGACTCATGAGCTAGCATGTAGACTCTGCTATAAATATTAGTTTATATGATCACGTTAATTCTCTAAATTCAATGCACAACACATCTAAATTTCCAAATGTACCCTTACATCTAATTATTTCATATAATCCACGTCTCGTCATTAATATTTTCAAATATATTTGTTTCAGTCCTTAATTTTGTGCACATCCTTTAACGGCATTTGTTCAGAAGCAAAAGTTACACTTGGGGACATGAACTTTGGCCCAACTACAATTATTACACCATATTGACAGTATTATTAAAGGACTTCGAAAACTGAATCAATCTTGGCAAACCATTATTTAATAAAATAAATAAATAACCCTAAAAAGAATCTTGTCCATTGCTACAGCCTTCGTGACATCTAACAGTCATAGTTAGTCTAACTTCTATAAACTTCCCCATACTGATACCCTCATGTTTTCAACTATGATTCCAAACTCTCGAGACCATAATACACTAGTTTACTAATGATGCCAAGTTCATGGTGTTTTCAGCAAGAATTTCAAGTTAATGTCAAAGATTGTAGTTGGATTATTGAATAATATCCCAAGTTAAATTATAGAGGATCTAAGTCTTTAGCAAGCGCACAAGCAAAAGGGATACGATGTACAGACAACTACTTATTCAGTTTATAACTTTTCTAGGTCTTGAAATAACAAGAATATTGAACAGGAAATATCTTTAATAGGCCGATTTGATTTATTGTATAGAAGATTTAAAAGAGAGGGGGTGGGGGGGAGGAGGGGACTAACCACATATCAGGTTCAGAGACCAAAGGCTCTTCACGGAGAAAAGCTTCCAAGCAGCTATACAAGGATAAAGGTTCAGTACGAGCTTTCTTTGTTGGAAGTCCATTCTTGCAGACTTCAGGCAAACTTTCCAAGTAAGATGTATCATATTCCTCAAGAAGTTCTTTTGACCAATTAATGAACACTAGCAGAGATTTTGATGATGAAGAGATTTTGATAGGTTTCACTTCTCCTACAGATAGATCAATGCATACATTATTTTCATCTACCAAGTGAAGGGGCAATTTCCCTGTTCCGTGAGTTGCATCATTGATTCTTTCTGTCCATGATGACGATTCAGAAGGTGGTTCAACTGCTGATGAAATGCCATTTTCTGACACATCATATTTTTCTCTATGCTTTAATAACGGAGATAGCATAGTCCGAACCATTGATTGAACATCACCCCTTGTTGTTACATCATCACATGAGATAGGTGAAACAAGTGGGGTTCCATAAGGCTTCCATCCCTTCACAGTCTGAGCATTAACTGTCTCCCTGGAAATTTTTAACACGTAAACAAATTAATCAAAAACAAACATGTCATGTTTGGATCATTTCAGTAGCTGACTGCACTTGACATATGTATGACAGTATGAAATATATAAACTGACCAATAATAAAACAGCAGTAGTGGTCTATGGGCCACTTGTAAGCCCTTATCTAACCTTCAGTGTGGACAAAGTACACTGTCTAGGAAGACGTCATATCCACCAAGGAAATTAATGCAATGTTGAATTAAGGAGCTGGAAAGAACTTTATCCGTATTACACAAAGGAACTACAATTTGTCAATTAGACTGGATTATATCTAACATTTGAACTGAATGAAACATGTAATAAACGGGCTTCAATATTTTATAAAAAAACCAGTCCTAAATCAACTCAGAGTCTCAGACACTTATTGCGTAACTTATCCAAAGAAAACTAAATCACATAGTCTTAAGTCATAAGTGGGAATTTCAACTAACTTATTAACACCTTATCACCCAAACAAAGAAAGCAAGAAGAGTGTTACAAAGCAGCTCTAAAATATGCCTCCTAGGCAAATTGTTCTGAATCATTTTGCCAAGAACGCCATAACATGTGTCAACCAATGGCACCTAATCAGTGCTTTTAGGATTGGGAGAAAAAAAAAAAAGCCAAGCAAGTGTGCTGAGAGCTAAAAGGGACAACTATGAATATAAAACGGAGTAAATTTTAGCAGATAAAGGACTATAACTCCCTTTGCACCAATTTTATAAAACCCAAAATGTCACATTTCTTTGTTCTGTATTTAGCAATAGCATGAAAATTTCCCTCCAAGCTGGAAAAAAAAAAAACAAAACAAAAAAACTCAATGCATCCAGACTTGAAAAAATCAGGCCAAACTGGGTGCGATACACATATGCATAATTCTTTCAAGTTAGGGTTTATTGTCATACAGTATGAGAGGAAGATTCAACTGTTCAAAGATCCCAAATTTCCACTTAAATTCAGGTGAAACCATAAATTTAGTTTTATTAAGTTCATCTATGCAGCAAGTAAGAAATTATTACCACAAATATCTACAATTTAGCAAACAAACCAAATAATACACCGTTACATACTTGTCTTCAAGACGGTGTATAAGCTGAAGAAATATTATTCCCTTTGCAGGCTGAGGGATCCTGTATGCAGCAAGGTGATCCTCATCTTTAATGCTGGACAATGATGTCAAGGGATCTTCAAAGAATAGATGGATCAAGTGATTCTGTATCTGCAGATGTACTTAAGGGATAAATTATCACAGATGAGCTTTAATAAAGTATCAAAATCAATGGTAATGAAAAACAAATTCTAACCTCTGCGAGTAGAAGCTTCTCATGAGGCTTTAAAGAACAAACGGCACTTAATGCTTGGATCAAATCCCTACATCGTCCTTGCTTTGGAATAGTCACAGTGCACACATTAGGCAGTAGACTTCCATCACTGCTAAAGATAGTTACAGTCAAAGGGCGTGTAGCAGTAGACTGGAGAGGCAACGAAAGATACATGAAAGGATCAAATGTCACCGAAACTTTTGCACACACAGGACATACCAGAGTCGACTTGTATTGGCCCTGCAAAGGAAAGTGTAAGAAGTTGCAACAAGGCTACTCAAAACATCTAGTTCAACTTCGGTATCTAAGTATTAAAGCTACTCATACAATCCAGTTCAACATTCATATCTGAGGTTAAAGCTACTCAAACCATGAAGATCATAACAAGTATAGCAACAAAAGTCTAAGACTGTTTAACAGCTTCTATGTTATGCAAAAACTGTGAATGAACTTATGGCCTTCAAAATTCCTTTATTTTTTTAAGGTAAGATGAAGGACCCTACTGAACCAGCACTTCTCATAGGTTAAGCCAGCTATCTCCGTAGGTCAACACTTAGTAGAGGGGAGAGATAAGTGAATCCACCTACCCCAAAGCAATTTTAGTTGGCGGGGCTCGAAGTTGTGACCTCAAAGTCACAAGGTGAGTTCCCCACCAAGCTTAGCTTGGTTTCAAAATTCCATTGTTGGATAAAAAAAAAAATAGTCCACAAGCCAGCAACCCACAAATATAAAAGAAATAGGATTAAAAGCTTGGTGGCTGAGATCCAATCTCCCAACTACAAGGTTTAACAAGATAGTAATCTCTAAACTGAATCTCACATACAGTCCATAATTTTCCTTTGCTCGCTCAATTTGTGGTGCAGATATTCTGAACATTACTTCTTTAAATTGCTTATGATATTAATCTAGTTTTCAAATTCAAAGTGCAATCTTGTAAGCACACATAGAGAAATATAAGTTAAAGATATGGTCAATTGCCTTCATCACAACTGCCATCAAATTACATGATTGGTTAAAAGTTCAAAAGTTCTAGCTTCATTGTCAAAGAAATTCAGGTCCACTTCGGGGAAAGATTAAATAAACTATGTTGTTTGCGACAATCAAGTGGATTAATTTTTGTAGATTAAAGAATCGGCACAAGGCTAAGCTGCGTACCGTGTTTCTTCAAGCTGACTGAATATGAAGTAGTACTATTTCCATTTAGTGAACCTCCAAAAATGGAGATTCATTACTACATTCAATGTTATTCTTCCAGTTTCACTAATTTACCTATAAATCTGTTGTCAACAGACCCATGGGTGTTGTAAGCAGTCTTTGGTGAAGCAAGGACCCCAAGCAAGAACAAGAAGTTCGTTGGGGGTAAGAAAAGTAGAGAGAAGAATGAAGATTAGAGATTATTCACTTAAAGAACTTGGCATTAACAGATATACACTTAAAATTGGTTTGCAGCCTAAAAATTGTTACAACTCCATGGCTGGAAGCTGGGAGAAGCAAAATTGGAGAAGCTTTGAAGAGTCCAAGATTGGGAAAAATGCCAAATACAGCCATTTATAGTACTCAACTTGCCAACTACAGCTATATAATTTACTCACTTTGCAATTGCAGCCTTATAGAAAAAATACATTGCAAATTGTAACCTAAAAAGTATTAACAACTTGTTATTTGACAACCATTCCCATTTTCTGGCCAAAATTACCTGAAAATGACGTCACATGTTTTCTTTTTCCCTTCCCTCAGCAGCCTCCACGACAGCTTTCCAACTTCTTAACTTTCTTTTTACCACCTCTGTGTCTCCTCTCTCAAGCACCACTGCTTCTCTGCCTCAGTACTATATATGACTGCATTGATGTACTCACAACAACTTATAAAGTCTAATCACACAGATGTTAACTATCTGACCCAACTTCTCACAATTTGTTTGGAGGAGATTGCATTTCCCATCAGGTTGCATCTCCACAACATTCAACATTTCAACAATTTTTATTTTTTTTTTTTTAAAAAAAAAAAAAGTGGTAAACTAAACAAATTTATCTGCATTTTCCCAAAGTTCTTGTCTTCCATTACTTAGCTGCAAGGAGGTTTCAACGAACTAACAAAACCCGAGAATGACGATGAATTGTGACGTCATTCTCATGCAACCTCAGCTAGAAAAAGAGAATGGTATACACTGTAATTAACAAGTTCGTTACACTTTTTAGGCTGCAATTTGCTAATTTTTATAAAGGCTGCAATTGGCAAATTGAGTAGATTAAAGAGTTGCATTTGGCAAATTTTCCTCCAAGATTGAACATATTTTGAAATATGATAAATGCAAATATCTTGAAATATAATTGCACATTAAATATTATCATCCTTGCAGATGACTGTCAAACATTCAACGAAGAGATAGATGAATTTTCAAATATATCAAACTATTAATTGGATACGTTGGGTTTCACTATACTTTTCATTATTTAATATTCTCTACAATTTTATCCTTGAAAAAAAAATTTGCCCTAAGGAGTTCCGAAAATACTATCAAAACTGCTATGGCAATAAAATACATTAATAGAGAACACCATTTGGTGAATTGGTTCCATTCTGAAAATTTAGAATTGGTAATAATCCTTGAAAGAAATTGACATTCATGGCATATCCATTTTTACATTTTGGCCACCATGTATGGATTATGAAAGAGGCTAATGTCAACAAACAATTGGAAGAAAAGTCTGATTTTTATGGTGGAGTTTACCTGGCATACATCAACAATAATGGAATCATTACGAGCTTTATGGTTTGCCCAGTATTCATCAGCAACTTCTTCATCAGGTCTTCCATTTGCATCCTTAGAAAGTATGTAAGGTTTATCTTTAACACGATTCAAGTCTTCATGTAACCCATCCAATAGAAAAGCCAAGAGTTCCTGGTATTCTCCACTAATAAGTATATAAACTATAAAAAGAAAGGCAAAGTTGAGACAATGTAGCTAGCTACCTGTGAATCATGCTGGTTATATCCACTGAACTGAGGGGCAAAGCGAGCCAGCTTTGTTTTAAAAGGCCGAGGAGCAATTGGTGTTCGTCCAGCAGCCCAAATTTTTCTAAGTAATTCACCAAATGAAAGAGCCAGCTCTCCCTGAAAAGTGAAACTTACTATGAATAAACAATCCAAATAAGGAACAGAATTTTTTTTGCATATGACATGCAAAGCAACCTGGCAGCTGGCACCACTCTAATATTTAAGATTTCCTAGATCATAAAGGTCAATAGAGATATAATATCATCCTAAACCAAAAACAGAGGACAAAGCTATAGGACCAGAAAGTAAAAATGAATTGAAACAAAAATTATTGCATGACTTTTAGAACATAAAATTGATGTCCATAAGGGTTATAGGCCAAGAACTCTACATCAATGATAGTGCCATAGTGGAATCTTAGAACTTAATAGATCCACACATCCACCACATATACTACATAGCATAACATACAAAAAAGTTATAAAGCAGTGATTATAGAATGATGAATAAAATGTGGAATTTAAACATTAATTCATTGTTATAAGGTAGTCCTATGCCCTTGTAAATCCATAAAACAAATAATTATAGCCTGTGATGTTTATCAAATCATCTAACTCTACCAAAATCTCTCATTCATCTTGGTTCTTCTTCTATTCATACCATAGAATAGTTTACACGATTTTGATCACCAATTCACCATAGTGAGAACAATCGCAGCATCGCAAGAAAGGAATGATGTGTTTGGTGCTGACTGTACAGAAGTCGCAATACGATCTTACGAATATGATATTTAAAAAAAAAAAAAAAAAAAAAAAAAAAAAAGGTTTCATATTAAATAGTACCCCAAGTATAATAATTTAAGGTTTCATATTATTGTAGTGCCCAACTGTTTTGAAAATATTTAAAATTAAAACAGTTCCTGAAAGCCAACCACTGTTAATAAAACAAGAAAAATCCCGCCACCCGCCAGTCCCAAAAATACCGCACAACGACCTTTGTAATTTGATAGGGAGGAAAAAAAAACCATGTGACACTTTCTACTCTGTCAAATCTCAACCTCCAGCTCTTTTTTTTTTCTTGCTGTATTAGATCTCTCTCCTCTGTGATTTAAGTGCTTTTGTTCTTTCCCCCAAATGTTAATGGTGATCTTGTACTCTTGAGTTTATCACTTTATCTAAGGTAAATCAGAATTGATAGGAGACTTAGGAGAAACCGGCAAAGATATCAGGGTTAAAAAAAAAGACCCCACTGAGTACAAGAAAATTCTGTTTCCCAAGTCTCAAAATCCGTTACAACAATGATGCATTGCGGCAATATGGCCACATTTTAATTCCATGAACAAACAAATTGAAGAAAAGAAGGTACCAAACTATCAGCCAATTCTCCATATCACCTATGCGTCAACCATGTATAGAAAAGGATTTAAACTTATAACAACATGTGGGACCAAAACTTTTAACAATCAAATAGCAGTCATTGTGACTTTTATAGGATACATAAAAGGAGCAACTTGTTAATGATCTTCCTCATTTTGTTTCCATTAAGTTCCTTGTCTTCTAGCAAGTTGATCAATAGTAAGACATATTTTCATCAAAGAATTCAAGGATTTTAGTTGACAAAAGACCAACAGCAGAAAGAAAAATAAAACTAATTAAAAGAGTAAAGGAAGACCAATAAAAAAGACAAAAAATACATTGAGCTGAAGCAGTATGATGGCAGTCCTTTCAAAATTAATCACTAAAGTATTGATAGGCATGATAGCCAACAAAAACAATCCTTACATGCATGCAATATGAATAGAAAATGCATCATAGAGAAATAATCATGAATTTATATCAAATAGATACTTACAACCATGCCCATTGGATTCTGCCAGTTAATTTCTCCGCGATAATCTTCCCTGAAATATCTAGCAAATTCTGGTGTATGAACAAGGCATTGTATAGCGCTATTCATATAACAAGTATTTCCAAGATTAAGTAGCCCAGTGAGCCCTGCGGTAGCACTTCTTGTGGTAACACCACTTGACTCTTGAGCATTGTTCGATTCCCGATGCGGGGAAACCTGATTCTGAACTTGTGAGAGATCCATATTGCCGATTTTAGATACACCTTTTGTCGCAGACAAACCTCCGGCAATTGATAAGCCTGACTTTGAGGGCTCTAAAAGAAAAGAATTTGATTGTTTCCCCACAGGATCATTGTTCTTTACATAATTTGTCATATTCGCCTCCACAAGAATCTGTTAACCCAAATTAGGAGATTGTTAATAATTAGAAAAAAGAGAAAAATGCTGATGAAGAAGAAGAAATTGAAGATATATATAACGAAAATAAAGCAAAATTGCATTTTGTATTTAGGTGCCCCAATAGGGAATAAACCCACGACATCCGAGAGTGATTATGTACTCTATAAATGTCACAATCACAAGATAATTACCTCAAATGTCAGATTGCTTTTCAAATACTATATATGTCTATAAACCTCAGGAGCCAAAGTTAGCAAGATCAACATCGGAATATTTACCAAAAAAAAAAATATACACATACAGTATAATTTGAAAGGCATTGAACTGCCAAAGAAATAAAGAGCGAGTCATTGACTTAAATTGTGGTACGCATGTCATTATCAATATATTACTCAAATTTGGGCCCTGTTATATGACATGTTCAGTTTAAGGTTTGACAATTTTCTTGTGTTTATCAAATCAGAATCTGGTTAGTTTAAGATAGGCAGCTCAGGTAAAATCAGCTTTGAACATTTCTGCCCATCTAAACTTCATAATAAATGAGCATAAAAAAAAAATAATTAGTAGCAAGTATTGAGTATCACTATGCAGAATATACAAGGCAATTTTGTAAGGGTTACTAGGTAATTTTATTAAGTAGAAGCTAAAGGATACTCACTTCCTGATCCATCTGTATGTTAGCATCATCAAGTGTTTTGTCCAGATCCATCGGTAATGCATGTTTCTTCTGCCCGTAAAAGTCATAAATGCGAATCTGAGGCAGTAAAGGGCTCATCAGTTTTGAAAATATAATCAACCATACAATCCATATTTTCTTGAAGTGGCATAATTTGTGAACCAATAGAGAAGTAAAATACTTAGAAATTTTAGAAGACAGAAAATAAAATAAAATTACTTGCTCAGGGTCAAGGTCAAAAATCTCACAAACTCGTCTGTAAAGCTCCCTAATGGTTTCCTGCAAATGTTATGAACAGCAAAACATTAAAGGTATAGCACAGACCTTTCCTCAATTTGTTTTGCTTGAACTCAGAAGACATTAGGACTCACCAAAATGATTCTATAGTGAGAAAACACAATTAAACATACTTATAGTAGAGCAACCACCTTTTTGCTTATTCTTATGGTAGATCGATCGCCTTTTGGTGTTAGAAGTAGCTCAAGGTGCAAAGGATACACTTCTACAGCTAATTCCATTTGACTAAGACCAATATTGATAACTTTTCTCGCCAATGTTGGTCCCCCTCCATACCTACAAACAATAAAGCAATTAAATTACGCATATGATCCTCTTTTAATATCACTGACACAATCAAATACTTCTTAGGTTGCAAACTGCCACAAGAAACACTTGAGAAATACCTAAACCACTATGGCATCAGGCTGCCAGTGCGAGCAACAGAAATCACCAATTAGTCAATGGAAACAATCAGCCATAGCATATTAGCATGTGACAGAAACTTAGTCAGCAATGACATTAACTAAGGAGCACAAGTTACCAAATCTCAAAAAAAATTAGATTTGACCAATGTATAAAAAAGCTCAAGGCGTGTTAGAGTGAGAAAAACTCTGCAGCACCTTAAGCACAGTAAAGTGTGCCTCTTTGATTAACATATGAAAATTTTGACTGTAGTGCGAATGCACCTAATGCGCTGCCGAAGAGCCTCGCCTAAATAAAGAGTAGAAATGCGCTCTACCCTAATCACCTAGCTCTTCAACACCTAGGCACTCATTTTATACACTGGATCGGAGCATGGACTAGTAACAACTGAAAAGGTCATTGAGCTCAAGCAAAAGCTTAATGCTACAAAGAAAACCGCATCGCCGATGCCCAATAGCACATCCTCACTGGCATGTTACTGCCTTCACATTAAACAAACTTACGATTCTTTCCCATACTGAATACATACACGACTTGAAACATGATTTACTTTAAGCATCTATTGATTACATCATTTCCTTATTTGGTATGCTTTATTAACATTTTATTTGTGTTCACACACAAAATACCATAAATACCCTTAGTTGCATGTGATAACAACCATAATTCTCCCTCTGTCTCTCTATCATTTGTTTATTTTACATGAGCAAATATGACAGTCTCCGTCTTTCACCACAATACTTAATCCGTTTCAAATGGTTTGCTTTGCGCACTATCACATAACCTACTTTGATATTGTTTTGTGATTTAGTGTTCAGAAAAAAAAAAATAAAAAAAAACATGGTCATTTAGGGTCTTGATTGATTCGTCTCAATGCCTATTTTTCTAAAATCAAAATTTTACACCTTTAGCTTATACGTAATTAAGAATATTTATATTTAAAAATGTGTGTTGGCAAACATGCCGAAATGAAATGTTTCAACAAATACAAAACAAAAGAAGTAACATATTTAATCCACATATTACCTCTTCAATCCCTTATTCCCACTTTCACAAAAAGATTCATACTTAACAAATCAGTCATTAATATCCCAACCTGAGTACACCGACTCAAAATGTGCAAGTGATATAAGAAATAAAATACGCAAAAGTGAAGTGACAAGGACAAGTTAGAACAAACCAAAAATCAAGAAAAACAGAAATAACAATTATCAAAGATTTCAACTAACATAAAAAAATAAATAAAATAAAAATAAAAGATAAGAGGAAAAAAAAAAAACACAACAAGGACCAAACAAAGTCCATCCACATAATATCAATAACTTTCTAAATTGCCAATAAGAGCAACTCATAAAGAAGAATACAACATAGTCCTAAGTACCCTCACAATAGAGACTTCCAAATCGAAGGACTAATTTATTTAGTGAAACTGAATAACAAAGTGGAATAAAAAAAAAGGGATAGATCTAATTGCTACATGAAGTAGTGATACGTTGCTTAACTTAGGATGTTTGATCAAAAGAGTCTCAAACGCCTAGCTCCTTATTGTAGGTTCTTCCAGGAACCATTATGTTCAACACATGGTTATTGCAACAATACCTCAGCTATTGCTTATTGAGCTATTGGTACATACACACCACACGACTCATTAATGGTCCACTAGAGAAATAAATGGAGGAAATGATTTTGAGACTCTATGTATTATTGCAAGGAAAGCCGCATACCAATGTCCATGGTAACAAATTACTAATCCAATATTCTTCTTCATCTGTATATTTCATTACCTTTTAAAGAGGCGGTATTGAGTAGTAATGGAAACCTAGGAGAAAAAACATGTAATACGGTATAAAGATGCATTAGCATGCACATTGACATTGGACTATAGAAACCAAACTACACAGACAATCATTACCATTATCGCCTACCAAATAGGCCACACAATAGCTAGACTACAGAAGTACATGACAAAACAGTCTTAGCAAAAAAGAGCAATTTATCAATAGCTGAATCATATTCTATTGCATGACATATTCTCATAAAATGGCTAAATAGAGTCAATCAATCAAAGCCTCAATCCCATAAGTGGAATTGGCTACATGAAATATAAGTAAGTTAATAGCAAGAACATTATTGCAACGACAGATCAGATATTAGGAGGAGTGGTAGTTAGGTTGTTATTGTGGATCAGCAACTTACCAAGAATAAAGCTGATTCCAGACTTCCTCTGGCAACAAGACATAATCACGTCCTTCCACCAAAGTGTCATGAAGTTCCGCTGCACTGCAATCGCTGGTGGTAGATTCATATATCAGAACTTTATTATCAATATTGGATGGTCTCTTTGATACACAAGCATCTGCAGAGTTTAAACTGTGCGGAGAGAGTCCATCATTCAATTGATCTTGATTAACATAGTCAAGCCAGTTTTGCCACCATCTGTGATAAACATGTCAAAGACATAGAGGTTAAGTCCTTACGACAAAATCCAACATAAGTATTCTTATTTCCATGTAACTAGAGAAAATAATTTACCAAAAAAACTAACAAAAAAAAAAAAAGTTCAAAAAAAAAAAAGAAGGAAAAAAAAAATTCAACAAAAAAAAAAAAACATCTGACGGCTTGTTTGGAGTTTTGGACACAGTAGGTATTACTACTTGAAGTGGGAAAGGCTGGGTGATGCGGAAGCATAGGTATAAAAAAATAAGCATTACTTCAATTTTTTTTATTTTCTTTGGCGTACAAATCTCAACCTGTCTGATGGGTTAGTGCTAAGCCATTTGGTTCCACTCTACTTTGCTAACAATGTCGCGATTGGCTAACCTGAGTTGCTTAACGTAAAGATTGAACTAGAGCCATTTAAGTAATTCTTATTTGCGCCCATAAAATTGAGCTAAACAAACCCTATGTGTACTTGACGCCCGAGTAAATTACACTAATCCGGTCTAATATATATATGTTAGCTTTTGGGAAGAAAAAAAAAATGTGTGAGAGTTTGTTTTGGAAGAGAGAATGTCTTCTTGGGCAGCGCACCTTCTTGCTAAGATTAAAATTAGGAATGAATTAAACATCCGATTTTGGAAGGTTCTCACATAGAAAAACAGCTGTTATGTAATCATTATCCGATTCTAATTGGTTCACTACTCTACATAATGCTCCGGTGACAGAAATTTATTGCGCAATGAATAAACTTTACATTAAAAGGCCTATTATATGAGCAAAACATTACTTAAAACACTGAACTTTTTTTTTTACAAAGTACAAGATACAAGAATATAAGGCACAATCAATTTGTACACCCAATGTAGCACTAATTTAGATACATTTCTTCATATGAAATAGGTTATTTGCTTCAAGAGCTGAAAAGGATAAGCAAGTTCAATTTGCTATTAGTAATTTAGTATCTTGAATTACCAAACAAAAGGAAAATATTAGAAAACCTACACCATAAAAGCATATATAGCAAGCAGCTAGAAGAAAGACCTCCAAAAATAAATAAGCACTCTTTTATAGTGTCAAAAGCACGTCAACTCAAAAACTGAACCAAAGGAAAATCCGTCAGAGCCTCCTCCCCTAAAGTATATAATTGGTAGTCAGTATACCTAAAACCATTGTGTAAGCATAATATTTCAAAGGCCCTTTGAACAGTCAAATAAATGGAGGGAAAGATGAAAGTTGAGATGTATTAATGCATGTTCACAGGTAAAAAGAACAACACATAAGTGTCGTTATCTCATATTGACAAGACAAATAGACCTCTGACCCCATACACACTACAAGTGCTGCAACCTCTTCTTCTTCCTACTCTTCCCAAACCCCTGAAATTTAATTTGCAACCGATCCACAACCTCTACATGAAAAACCAAAGTTTCCTCCTGCAAAGCAAAAAGCTTCTTGTAGAAACATCTTGCCATATCACACTCTCAACAAGGAGATATCGTCAAATAACCAAACCCGGAATCTTAAAATTTTTGTCTTATCAATAATTAAAGAGGAAGGCGTCAAACAAATCAGCCACAAGAAACTTTTTCTCAATTCTACCGGGCGAACACCAAAAGTTACCTCACTTTAGGTATACTCACCAATATCTATTTTATACGTAATCTTTATTGTCTTCACAACAAAGTCAATCACTCGGGAAACTCTCAAGCCATTTGAAACAAGTATCTTGAGCAGTAACAAAAGTAATTAATGAGGACTACTGGAGAGCAAGAAGAAGCAATGTGCTTCAACTGCCTATGCACAATTACACAAAAACAGAACACTTGAGTACATAAGAAACCCCTCGTGAGCTAAAAAAGTTGTCAGATAGACACTACAAACAATGTTCCTCTTAAGCTTATAATTATTTTTTTTTTAAGTCTCACTTCACATCCATTTGATACTTATTTACCTAATTACTGCCCAATTGGCCTTTTTATGGGTTGTGAAACAAATTGCCACCTCAAGTAGGTCATCATCACTTCACATCCATTTGATACTTATTTACCTAATTACTGCCCAATTGGCCTTTTTATGAGTTCTGAAACAAATTGCTACCTCAAGTAGGTCATCATTTGTCATCTACACCTTATTATATGTGACAAACAATCCTTCAAAAGGGTCCCCTGATTATTTGATCCAAAGAATATCAACAAGAAATAATGAAGAAACATCTATTCTCATAAGTCACAACAGTATGTAATTTCATTAAATAGATTTTAAGATAATTCTTTACCAACAGATATTCTAAAGCACCTTTGGTTCCTATCCGACATCCACTTTATTTCGGCTTTCCACAACAGTATGTAATTCCATTAATTAGATTTTAAGATAATTCTTTACTAACAGATATTTAAAACACCTTCGGTTCCTCTCCAATATCTACTTTATTTCGGCTTTCCAAAACAATATGTAATTCCATTGATTAAATTTTTAAGATAATTCTATACAAACAGACATATCAATCAAAAAAGCTTTTACTCTAAATATCTTCGGTTCCTCTTCAACACCCCCATTATTTCAGCTTCAAGTTTATATAAACACTTGATTTTTGCCACCAAAATTGCAAAAATCATTCCAATTTCAAAACAACTGCAAACATAAGATTCCACTATATTATAGCCTTAAATAAATAAATTAGCTGTTTACAAAAATAAAAGATATACAATAAACCCTTTTCACGGCTAAAATACCATTTTAATTTTGATAAATGTAAAATTAAACAATTGAAGAAGGTATAAAGTTACGGAAGAACAACCGTTGAGTGATGATATAGAAAGTATCGCCCTCTTTGCTTTGGGCTTCGGCGGCCAATGAAATGTCACGTATTTTCAACCTCTCTTCCTCCGGCGTCGGCCAGGCCCGTCCCTGAGCAAGGGAAGGAGGTCTCGGCTCAAAAAATGGAGTCATGGACTTTCCCTAAGATTAAACCAAATTTAACGGGTTGATTAATCACTGGATTGTGAAACTGATTGTCCAAAATTATAGAAAATACAAATAAAAATTAAAAACATCTTACCTCAGAATGTTCAGTGGAGGAGAGAAAAGTCGGAAGCTGATTCAATGGAGGATTCACAGTGCTCTTCAATGGAGGACTCAGAGTGCGCTTCAATGGAGGAGAGAGAAATGGGGGGGGGAGAGGAGGGTGCAGTCTGTGGAGTGACTCAGTGAGGCAGCGAAAATGTGAAAATGTGAAATAACGGAGAAATAGAAATGACACCAAAAAATAAAATAAAATAAAAATAAAAAAAAAATGACACCCGGCAATTGGTTTTGTATGGACCCTTTCTACAATAAATTATTATAAAACCAAAATTTAACATTTTCAAATAATATAATCACATTTTGGATGATATAATCACTTTTTTAGACGATATAATTATGTTTTTGTGAGTCATATTTTGAATTATATAATCTCATATTAAACCATTTAATGAGATTATATAATTATCTTTAGGATGATAAAATTCAAAAATCATGTTTAGAATAATGTAATTTACTATCTATTACTTTTTATAATGATAAATTTTTTTGAGTGATACATTTACATAACAGTTTCAGGATGATACAATCACTTTTATAGTAATATAATCACATTTCGTATGATATAATCACATTCGTATGGTATACTAGATGGTTGGGTCTACAATTATAGACCGGGTTTATTCTAGTCTTATCATTATTAGGTTGGCTCAGCCTCCGGCACCGTGCTTGGTTTTTTTTTTTTGGTGGTGTGTTATACCGGTCCATCCTTTGGGTTAATTTGGATTCTAAAATCAGTTTTGAGTGGTTACATCTAGGGTCGTTCATCGGTTCAAGACCGGAACGGACCGGACCAACCCGGATGGAACCGAAGGCCGAAAATTAGAATTCCAAGAACCGAAGACCGGACCAATTAAGCTAGGACTGAATTCGGATCGGACCGGAAGAATCAGTCCAAACCCCAAACCGGACCGCTTTGGACCAATTTAAGAATTTTTTAAAAAGAATACTAAATTTTTAATGAAGTTATGAAAAATACAAAAATAGTAAAGGAAAAACTATATTTTAACGTCATTTTTACGTCTTTTTTTTGTATGTTAAGTACAAAAAAACTTATAAAGTTAAAGTTAAAGTCCAACTTTCTACGGAAACCCAATCCCAAGATCCGCTCACAATTAATATAACTAATAAGCATAATAAACAAGATAAGGAGAAAGACAATATTACCCTTGTGTAGACATCTACTTTTGGCCTCCTATCCTGACATAAAGTGCAATGACGATAAATAAAACCATCTTCGTGTTGGATCGACATGAAGAATACTTATGGATAACTGATTGAATCACAAGAACACATAAATGACTAGCCTTACCCAAAAACAAATGCATTAAGGTCTAATCAACTAAGCCCGATCATAATTAGGCTTAAGCCCGAGCTTAAAACCTAAAAATGGCGGATTTAGAGGCGCCTAGGTTAAAAATCAATGCTGCCACGGAGAAATCTGCGCATCTCAACGAGTCGCGCTAGTCTATCGCGCGCAACTCACAAGGTTGTGCGCATCACCCAGCGCAACTGCTAGTGATGCGCTTGCGGAAGATTCAGAATTTCATAAAAATATAAAATCAAATCTTACCATAATACTGTGCGCAAGAAGTTCGATTGCGTTGCCCATTGCAGCGCAACCAAATTACTTGCGCTGGGATGCCACTCGCAACCCATTCAGATGCGCACGACACCTGCATTGGCAGAATGTTCAAAACCCTAAACGTACCCATTTCCTATAAATAGGGGCTTAATATGCGAGGCTCAAACAGATAGAAATTAATCTAAAACTCTGGCAGAAACTTTGAACTTGTGAACTACCAAACCCTCTTGTCCTAAACACTCACCCCCTTTAATACTTGTTACTACAGTGGAGGTTCCCGAACAAGGAGTCCATAAGTGTTCTAAACGAAGATATAGCAATGAGAAGTGGTAAACTCCCGAGCACTTAGATCAATCACTTTATTTTTCTTGTTTAAAATAGCTTTAATTATTTAATTAGTGTTGTTTGATCACTTCAAACGAATTTTTAATTAATTAATTTCACATAGTATCTTTTTTTTTTGACATATGCTAAAACAAACTACACTACTAAACAGTAATAAACATTATTAAAAGACAGTAAACTAGTATTAGCCGCCGTTGCCCGCAAATGTGCCTTTTGCACCTTGATCCTGTCTACCTTTTGAATGCTACACTAGGAGAAGGTTGATCCTAAACGAAGGATCTGATCCACTTTCCATCTTAGATCAACGTCGATGTTGCTTTTATTCCTCAGCATCCTAACCATATTCTCCGAATCCGTGTAAATTGTTATCGATGTTAGATGTCGAAGAGCTCCCCACTTAAGACCATGGATACAAGCATTCATCTCAGTTTGCACGACAGACTAAGCTAGGCCATGTGTCACACCTCCGATACCATCGAACTCATCTTCCACCACCCCATCTGGACACCACCCCATTCCTGATCTCCTTGTCTGCTTATTCCAGGACCCATCAACTTGTATCATAGTTGACCCTTCTTGAGTTCCATCATTAGATAGAATCGCCTGCATGAAACCTGGCGGGTGATCATGGAAACTCTTTGGAGGGTGCAGGCAGCGTAAGGTCGTCTCTCCATTACCGGTAAAAAGATCATGTTGACGCAATCCCTCTGAAATAATTATCGGAGTTGACAACATACTAGACCCTGATCTCCTAAAAACCCTGTTATTCCTAGCGTTCCACAAACCCCACAAAGTGGCTAAGAAAAAGGTAATCCTATGGCCTTGTTTCCCATCCAAGCTAAGGTAAAGCTGGATGTAGTACAGAAACCAGTCTACAAAGGACTGGTCTGCATTATCTTCTGAGTGGATGCCTAGTATTCCACCCTCCAAATATCTTTTGTCGTAGTACACAACCTGAAGATATGTTGCAAATCTTCCTCCAAATCCTCACAAAGATCACAGTAAACTTGAATATCCAACCCTCTTCTACCCAGGTTACCTCTTGTCGCCAAACCATTATGGAGTAATTTCAACACAATAAGTTTCCATTTGGGAAGTATATGGAGAGCCCAGAGAACTTTATAAAACTCCAAAACCGCCCCATTTCCTATCCGAGATTCCAAACCTTTAACAAAAGCATAACCCGTTTTGACCGTATAATGGCCAGACTTATGATCTAACCAGTACATGTAGTCCTCTACCTCCCTCACTGGCACTTCCATTGATGCTATAACAGTCGCATCCTTTAGATTAAATCAAGAATTGAGTCTTCTGTGATTCCACCCTGTACCATCTCGGTCTAACAAATCCCTAGCCCTCCAATTCCAAATCTCGCTTATCGTATCCAAAGAGCGCGTTGTCGGTATCTTCCCTTCCATCCATCTATCTTTCGTAGCCATAATTGTTTCCCCATTCCCAAAATTCCATCCACACCCCTGAACCAAAATGTTCCCAGCTTTAACTAAGCCTCTCATTCCCCAAGAGTAGGGCCTGCTTCCCAACGACGCTGGTTTCCCTGTTTGAATATGTAGGGAATATTTCAAGTGTTACCCTTAGCTCGAACCCCACTGTGATCATACACTAAAGTATGGTGGCGTCCAAAGGGAAAGAAGATAGAGCAAAAAAGTCGCCAATAAGTTTTAAGAACTTGTAAACCGTTCACGAGGTGAAGGTTACACCCCTTAACGATCCAGGAGATCGTCAACTCCAATAGGTCTGAAACCATGACTAGTAGTTCGGGGATGAAGGTACAAATTCAACCTAAAAGAGATTGAACCTGCCCTAATAATAGGCCTCTACTTTATTCTGATCGTATTCATGTACGCTTTCTGACTAACATGCAATCAATAGGTTTAACCCTAAACCTGTTTAATCTATGTTGGTTGAATATTAATGCACAAATAAATCTATTATTGGCGATCACTTGAATTATAATCAAAGTAACCCTAAACAAGATTATTAATTATCTTATTAAGCGTGATTACAAGTACAAAATTCCTTTAAACATGCATAAAAAGGGCGTGATAAAGCAATAACAATAAATATATATATCAAGCAACATAATAAATAATAACAATAAAAATAATCATAATGATAATAATTAAAATAATCATGATCATGTTTAAGCATAATAATAGCAAGATCCTAGGCATGATACTAACAAGATTAATAACAAACTCTAGCATGTCACTAAACATCAAAAATCAAATCTTTAGCCCTAACATGATACTAACATGCTATTAGAATATAGGAAGCATCATACTTTTAATCATACTTGATATTAGCATTTTTTAGTTGTTACCCTAAACATGATACTAGGAAGATCAAAATACCCTAACATGACGCTAGGAAACATAATAACAACCTAAACATGATTTCTATATCATAATATCAATAAAAACCATTAAAGTACTTACTTGGATGCCTCGTAACTCTTTCTAATAACAAAATACACGCGTTAGTGTAAGGAATATTTCAAGCGTTATCCCTAGCTTGAACCCCACTGTGATCATACACTTAAGTACGGTGGCGTCTAAAGGGAAAAAAGATAGAGCAAAAGAGTCGCCAACAAGTTTTAGGAACTTGTAAACTGTTCACGAGGTGAAGGTTACACCCCTTAACGATCAAGGAGATCGTCAACTCCAATAGGTCTGAAACCATGACTAGTAGTTCGGGGATGAATGTACAAATCCAACCTAAAAGAGATTGAACCTGCCCTAATAATAAGCCTCTACTTTATTCTGATCGTATTCATGTGCGCTTTCTGACTAACATGCAATCAATAGGTTTAACCCTAAACCTGTTTATCTATGTTGGTTGAATATTAATGCACAAATAAAACTATTATTGGCGATCACTTGAATTATAATCATATTAACCCTAAACAAGATTATTAATTATCTTATTAAGCGTGATTACAAATACCAATTCCCTTTAAACATGCATAAAAGGGTGTGATCAAGCAATAACAATAAATATATATCAAGCAACATAATAATAATCAAAATAACAATAATCATCATAATAATCATAACCATCATGTTAATAATAAAGCATAATAATAGCAAGATCCTAGGCATGATACTAACAAAATTAATAACAAATCCTAGCATGTCACTAAGCAATAAAAATCAAATCTTTAACCCTAACATGATACTATTATGAATATTAGGAAGAGAATTAAAGGCATCGCAGGAATCATGATTGATATAAGCAAATCACCCTAAATATCATACTAAAGAAAAAATCCTAACATGATACTAGGAACATCCTAAACATGATACTAG